GTTTGGGATCCATCCAATAACTAGCAGGTGTGACGGACAGCTAAATGAGGGAATGTGTGGACTGCAGTAAAGATAATCAATACTGCAACAGCTCTAAATAGGCTACGCATGGTGTGCATTAAAGGTCCCATCATATGCTTTTCTGGTTATTACCCGTCCCCTTGTGTGTTATGTAGCTTTTTCTGCATGTAAACGGTCTGCAGAGTCACACACCCTCAAAGTACACCCTGTAGCGAGTAAAACACAGAAAAGACGTGTCTATGCTGCCCCAGAACGCCTCGTTGTAGATTTTTATTTTTCCGGGAAAGGTTGACGTCACTCTAGACCAGGGATCACCAACCTTTTTTAGGGTGAGAGTTACTTTTAAAAAATAAAATCAATCTCTCGATCGCAAGAGATAGAGATGAGAGGAGGAGAAGCGAGAGAGGAGTTCTCTAGCTAGATATAGATATAAGATAGAGAGTAGATGAGATAGAGATGAGATCGAGAGATATCGAGATAGACCTCAGAGAGAGAGAGTAGAGAGAGAGAGCGGAGAGATGCCGAGAGAGATAGAATGAGAGAGTAGCTCGGGCTCGAGCTAGGAGTGCGGAGATTCGAGAGATAAGCAGATATCGCTCTAGAGGAGAGCTAGTGAAGCTAGCGTGCATCTCTCTATAGTTCATATCTCATCAGCGATCTTCCTCTTCTCCGTCTCTCTCTCTCTCTCATATCTCTTCCTCTCTCTCTCTCTCTCTCTCTCTCTCTCTCTCTCTCTCTCTCTCTCTCTCTCTCTCTCTTTTCAGCCTTTTATAGAATGTATCAAGTCATGAATGAAAATATGAGGAGAAAAGGCGTGTGGAGTTATACAACAAACACACAACGTCTAAATCCTCTTATTTACGCGATATCAGTCACAGAAGAACGAAGCCGGTAGGAAGAGCCGCCCATCGTCGAAGCAGCCAATGAGACGAGGAGCCAGGAATCGCATATACACACGGGACACAGAGACTCGGCCTCTCTTCTTCCTCCTCTCGACACGGCGACGTGCTCTGTCTGTTTCAAAGCCACGTTACTTCATTAAATTACCCATTTGAACTTTTCCAGGACTACATTGTCTCTTTTTAACTTCCTCCTGGACTCGAGAACAACGAACACGATCTACAATAGGAAACACATTGGTGTTATCAAATTTAAAACATATAATTAATAAACAGATGTAGCCCCTGCTGCTCAGGCTGGAATAGAGGAGTGGTCCATCGTTCAGAGTTATTGCAAATATAGGGTGAAGATAAGTGTTTGGTCAACACATTATTGTCAATTTAGAAGTAATGGTGACTAAATGCTACAGAAATTGTTGCCAAATAGATAGATCTTCACCTTTCCAAGTCAAGGGCAGTAGATTATACGGCTGATGACATAGAACCAGCTCTTCCTGCCTCTTGTGCTTGGGAAATAAATTGTGGATGAGTAATTTCTGAGGCTTTGCACTGAAATCCATCACACAGATTGGGAGGGCAAGGTCACCTTGCGACTAATTGAAACGTTTTTTTAAATAGATGAATTGTTTCAACCTAAAGATTATGGTTGTTGAAATGTTGCATAATGCATGGCCATGCTGATGTCCCAGCAAGCTTTACTGGCTTTGTGGTTAAATGTTGAATGATTGGACGGAAGCCAAAAACGTACTTACTACTACACTTACAACATATCTTAATCTCTACAGTATTTGCAACTCATTGAATATTAATAATTTATCACACACTTGACCCCCTGACAGCTCATGAGATCACTGGACAAATGCGTGAAAGTTTTGGTTTCAGGGGGCGCCTTTAATCTGGTCTCCTTGTGGTGACCAAGGTCTAAGTGATGGAACTTCGAGAACCAACTCATACATAAAACATGCACATGGTCGTATAACCCTGGGTGAAATGGTTTGGTGAAAGCAGCAGCAGATAAATGAGGGCTCAGGTGGACGGTACGACATAGCAAGATTCAAATGTGACAGGGAAAGATATTTGGGAGAGATTCATCACCTGCTGTTGGAGGAAAAGGTGGAAGGCATGATGGCCTTCAAGTTATCGGCCTCATCTTTTCACCTGTCCCTTCCTCTCTACATGAAGAATGACAGGGGGAGGGTCCCCTGGTGAAACTTCAAGGATGTACAGAATATATTAAACCTGTAACAGTACAAGGACAGCAATATATGGCAGATGGCAAACACTTGCGCTTTTTAATTTAATTTCTTTATTGATTGGGAGCATGGATAGACAGAGACTGGCTTTCAGGCAATAGATCCCAATAGTCACATGACTTTATATTATTTGAGTGTACTTTGAGACATGCAGTAGGTGTGAAGTCAGGATTTCTACAGCTTAAGGCACAATAGACTTAAGACTTTTAAAGGCCTCTTGGAATGAAATTTAAAACAAAGTTGACAATAACCAAAAAGTGAATATTCCTTCATTTTCATATTTTTTTCAACAAAATGCTATATTTTGTTACGAGTGGATAGTCATTTTACCCTCTCAAGTTAAAAATAACAGTAGTGTAATTTGTCACTAGAAAAGATACAATTCTGAAAAATGTATTTTTGCTGGGGCCTCTGACTGGTTTGGGAAACATCTCCTAAATAGATAGATGTTTAATACCTGTACATGGTAAAAGTGCACCATATTAGTTGATTGTTAAGTAATGATATTTTTATCAATATAAGTTTCATCTTCATAAGATAATAAAGATAAGACTTTATTTATATTAAGGAAATTGTTGCGCCAGAGAATATTCATTCTCAGGATAATAAGATTATCAACAACCCTTCATACTGTATGTCCCCAATGACTACTGGTTTTATTTCATAAACCATACACTTGTGAACACCCACTATATAAAAAACTGATTACGTTTAACTTTTTACACAGACCTTTGATAGATTTGGTATTTTGAACACATTTGTCATATAGTATTTTTAGATTTGTTTTTTTATGAATTGTTTGTGTTTTTCTGTTTGCACGCTCTCTTGCCCTGAATTGCCCTAAGGGAAAAATGAAGTATGAAGTAGAAAAAATCATTTTCAAAATAATATTTTTTCCCTATAACTAGAGGCAAAAGTACTGAAACAAATTATTTCCCTAATTTCAGCATTATTTAATAGTCCAAATTAAAAACTGAAAATTATGGCACGTTACAAAGGTGCTGGCTCAAATTCAAACGAAAGACGTCACATTTACACAGCATGAGCTGCCAGGTCACATCACTTTGACCTTTAGATATGTGAGGACCCCCTGGCAATGTAATCATAAATGAGTTTTTTTTTTAAATACACAAGTGTGAATGAGGTTGTTTAAATGTCAGTTCCTCTTACTGTAAAACTCTCTTTAGTCATATTGCATAAAAAAACACATTTGTAGATTGTATATGCAATTTTAATTCATTTTACTTTAGACAAAAAATGCCTTTAGTGAATCTCTGCCTCTTTGAAATAGAGAATATAAATGTCTTAATGATCCCCATAGGGAACGTGTTTCTTTCCTCTTCCACAGTAAGGTCAGGGTTCAGGGTTGGCAAGAGAGCATCCCCCCAGGAGGTTAAAGCTACCCATCCATCAGTTGAAGGGATTCTCTGTTCTAGTTAAGAATGTGTCAGCTGAGTGGCTTGAACCCAAGCCCCCAGGAAGTGAGTTGTGCATTGAATGAAATATCTGTAGTGGCCAAACTGTGGTACTACAACTATCATGTTAGTGTGTGAAGTAATTTAATCTGCTGAATTAGTTCGCAATTTACAACTTCTGTTTCACTGATCTTCAAGTCAACGTTGTTTTTAACATGTTTTTGCTTTGATGCCTGAAATTGATATGTAGTTCACACAAGCTGAAGACATTTTCAAGTTTTGAACCATGACATAAAATATGTGCAACCGTGATGTAGTTTGTTTTTTAAGCATAACATTATATTTTTACTAGGGGTGACTGCATTAATGCTTCAAAAACGTGAAAAGTCGTATTCATAAGTGGAGATATCCTACTGAAGATGTTATTTGTTGCATTATTCCAAAACCCACTTCTAAATCTCATTACTTTTTGTTGAGGGAGCCCTTGAGATGCTAACTTCGGGGTCGGCCTATACAAATACTTCATCACTGCACTCTATTTCTGCACTTAGGAGCATTTCGACTTTATGCGTAACTGAGCAACGTTTATTGGATTAAACAGGACCTGCTTCCAGTTCTCTTTATACACCCATGCTTAAACCCTGTCCTTCTTGATGGTGGTCTCTTGATCTCTTATACAACCCTATAAATGCTCTCCTGCCCTACCAAGCCGCCCCTGTGTTGTCATGGCACACATGTAAGCCTAGATGGGATCAGCTGCTGCCTGACTGACTGACTGCGCCTTGGGGCTTTTTGGATGGAAAAGTTCCCAGTACCCCCACACAGAGGCCAAGAGGCAAGGCCTATATGGAAGGTTGTCGAGATCCATCCATCAGAGGCGAACACCTTGGCGCAAGGTCCTCCATCCTTCCTTGTAGCCCCTAAGCGTTGTTCCCTGCATTTTTAAACCAACCTATTTTTCCTCTCTCTGTGAAGCAGATTAGAAAGTATAATATCTGTGAGGTAAAGCGTGCACTGACAGGATTAAGGTCGTTCAGTTTCATCAAAGAACCAAAATAAAGATGAAAGGATAACACTGCATGTGTTGTACATCCCTACTGATTTCATTATTCTACTAATATCTCTTTGATTCATAATTGTTCTGTTGATGGCACATTTGGACTAAATGCCTCTAGGGGTTGTTAAAACAATTTGAAATGTGGCATAACATTTCACTTATTGTCCTTCATACTGTTAAGAAAGGGTTATTTACAGACGATATCATCATGAAAGATATTCTGGGTTTTTATCTCGGGCAGATTGGGAGACTCCAAATCTGCTGCGCGTCCATGGCGTGCGTCATTGCGCAGCAGCGCGTCCAGCCCACAGCAGTTACTGGGAATCCGCTGACGGAGCACAACCAGTTGTATGCGCGGATCAGCAGGTGCTGTCTTTGGACCTGGATGGAAGTCAAGGTTGCATCCACGGCGATCTGAGGGGACATTCTTACAGCACGGACTCTTAATTCCAGGATGAGCTGTCATTTATGACATGCTCACCACGGCGTTCGATAATAACAGGTAAAGTTCGGATTTTAACTTTATTATTTATTTATTTATAAAACTGATTTTCCCTTGAAATGCTGGCGGCACCTGTTCATGTTTGCCGCACCTCGAATTTTGGAGACGTTTGTTGTCCGTTTTGTGCGCCTTTTTCCTCACCAGCGCGCCTTTGAATGCAGCGTGCCGTTTCATCCAGACTGGAAACATGAGTCTACTCACGATTCAAACTTTGAAGCATGGAGGGATGATTTAGTTTGAAGCGCGAAAGTCACATTTTACAGGCTATCTCGGTGTTATTTAACAGCCAAATACATGGTTTTCCTGTGTGTGTGTGTGTGTGTGTGTGTGTGTGTGTGTGTGTGTGTGTCTTTCTCTGTCTGTTTGTCTGTCTGTCTATACTTTTCCCTTCAAAAATGTTCTGCTTTAAATTAATTATGTTGCATCACCAGCGCTTGATCCTTTTTTCTCGATGTGAATGAGGGTTAGGAGGTTAACAAGTTTTTAGAATCACCAACATCCAAGTATCCCAACTGTGGACATGCTCATCAAGCTTTAATTGGGCACAGGGGGGATTTTTAAGCATGACAGTTAATAAAGTGACATGAAGGTGAAGGTCAGGAATTAATTTAATGGAGACCCTAGGGGTGAAGTGTGTGTTACTGGGAGACATAAATGCAGAATTTATCAGAGATTAACACTGCAGCCTGTAGACATTCACAAGCCATTATATCATGGGGTATGAGATAGTCCTTATCAACAGTGGTGTCTACTTTGGCCAATCTTCTCCCTCTGCATCAGATAAAAAGCTGTCAAAGTCAACAGGAAAATGCTCCGAGCAATGCTATAATCCCACTGTGATAATAACTAATTAAAATCACGCCAATGCTCCAGGAAGCCTTGTGATGAGTTTCCCAGAGTCCTCCTCTCATTTCTCAAACTATAGCTGCCATATGATGTAATCAGTGAAGTAAACACAGATTGTAAGGCTTACTTAATTGGTGCAGATTATTTTTGTTCAGTCTGTGTATCAAACTGCAAGCTGCCTCTCAGATCGAGCGCTCACAGTGCAGGCTATAGGGAAGGAAGAGGAACGGGATTTACATAAATGAGAGTTGTGTCAAGATAATGGAAAGGCTCTCCGTTATCTTCAAAACTCCAGAGCTGGGGGTGTATTTCCATTCCCTCTCTGATGGTCAATGTAGAGGAATAACAAATAAACAACAAATTAGAGTATTGGAGTACTGTGCCTTTTTGGACAGCATTTGTTTTCATTTGGTTCTCTCCATATTGATTTTTCCTCTTTTTTTTTTCTTACCTGCGTATTGACTGTTTTCTGTGGTCTAGCGAGATAAATGGAGCTGTTGCCTTCTGTCACTGAAGTGGTCTGATTGTGATTTATTTGGAGTTCATCCATTACGTCAGGTGCAGCCCTCGTGACTTTTTTGTACATTTCCACTCAGACTTCAAACACGTGACATGTAAGATTAACCAGGTGCAGGTGCATATTATCATTAGTTGTGTCACATGTGGTTTTGTCTCATGGGACGTTGCCTTGACTCGGTGGCCCAGAGTCATGTGTCACCGGTAATACAATCTGATGGTCCTTCTGGGATTGTCCACTCTTTGGCTGTCACAGTGTCCAGATGTGTCTTCAGATCCACTAGTTTCCCCACAGGCTTTTCTTTTCTAAGAATATACATAACTACATGTGAAATGTGGCCAAAGCCCAGAGGTGGTGCTCCAGAAGCTCTCAAGCAGTTACATACAGTATGTTTTAGTAGATTGTGAGTCCAGTTCATCCTCATTTGTCATAATTTCTTAGATAAATAATTGGAGATATTTGGTATAACACGCATCCAACAAAAAATGGAATCTCAAATGTTACCTAACATAGAAATAAAGGATTCTCCTGTAGATTTTACGAAAGCTTGCTAAATGATGGTGAGCAGGCAGAGGGGTATTAAGTCATCTGAAGAGAGGAAAAAAATGTTTTCACAAAATATTGATTCATTAATTATTTCTTGCTTAAAAAATGTGTGCTCACTGTGTTTGGAGATTGAACTGCCTGCATAATTAAAAATATACAATAGAATGGCGTAAATTGAGTCATAAAAAACGGAGTACTCAAAGACGTGTATAAAAAGCTGTACAATTATTTGATCCATCATTTTGACGTGGTGTGCAGCTTTAGGTGCTGTTTACACGAGAACGCAAACGGTTGTATCCACTACTTTTCTCTTTCGTATAGCCCGTTCGTTCTCACGAGGCCGTAACGGAAATGCGCAAACGGACCCCGCAAACGATAACGCTTCCCAAGGTGGATAGATCTGCAAACGGAACGCTCTGGGGGGCCAAACGGCTCCGTGTGTACGCCCTATACGATCATTTTCCTGATAACGATGAAGCCATAGCCCCGCCTCTCCCCACCTCTGCTGCTCACTGCTGTAGCATGGTCAGTAGCTACTGCTACTGCTACTGACCATGCTACAGATGTTAGTACAACATCTACAGCTCCTGTACCACAACCATCAGCAACAAATGGACATGGAGAATTACATGAACTACATGTTGCTAAATCCACCGTGGGGCATAAACAGAAGGGCAACCATGGCAAGCATGCTCGGGGGTCTTCTTCGCTGCTTTTGGTGTATTTTGTGGCGGAATTAAAGCGCCACTTACAGGCCCGGCATATGTACTAAAGCGTCTCCAGCGCTCCCGAGCGGTCTTGTGTGAACTGAAGACTTTTTTGATATCGTATTTGGTTCGTTTGCGTTTCGTATGCGTTTGCGTGTAAATGGGGTCTTAAAGACTGTATTACCCATGAGCCTCTTCTGCTGTTGCTATATATTTAATCCAGATTAAGAGGCACAAATCACAGCTGTAAAATGCATTCAATCACTTTGTTGTTACACTTGGGAATACAATCAAAAATTGAGTGATAATCCAAAAGGGAATGAAATCTTTCTGCAGATTGTTATAGATGTCTTTACAGTGTAATCCTTAGTTTACCTTTTTACTGAAATGCATACCATACCATTTTACGTACAACTGATTGTAATTTTTACTTTTTATCAAAGAGTCATATAACATTTACCAACAAATAATGTTTTCAGAGTTTCACAGTCCATTAAAGCTGTAGAAGGGCTTCTACTTTGATGTCCTATTGTCTATGGGAAGAATTCAGGACACCCAACTGTGCAGAAAGAAATTCCCCTAATTTAGCAAATCTACAATAGTGAGCTTTATGGTTACCTTTAGATTTATCTAGACTAGCTGTTTCCCTAAAATAATGTGCTCCTGGCATTAGCTTCATTACGAACAAGGGTGATAACGTTCTTCCAATCTACCTCTCTGAAAAAAGGTAAGCATATTTCTTGGAAGAAGTTGGAACTGTTCCATTAAACACGAACCCTCCTGCGTCATTATAACTTAATTTTTATGTTTTTTCCGTCTCTTCCACATTCTCACCACTGTCATTACTGCTGTAATTGCATGCCTGAAGATTTCCACTCATACAGTTTGTTTGATTGGCAACACTGCTGACTCATCCCAATATTAAGGCAGAGGGATGGACACTGGAGACCTTTATGAGATGATGAGAAGTTGAAGTCACTCACAGCCTGAGTGGAGACTTCTAAACCCACAGATGAAACAGGGGAGCAGAGGCCTCCATATAGATAAAATCAGTCCAGGCCCTGATGTTTCTGTGAGACATTTCCTTGGTGGGTTTGAAAAGAGGCTGCAGAAAGTGAAACTGATTCAATTGGGTTGTGCGCTGAGGGAAGTAAAGTCACTTAAAGAGGAATGTTGATTAGAAGGCCCTGCATTTAAAACATCGTCTTTTATAACATAGAAGTATCAATCTACAACAAAGTGAAATAATCAATTTCTCTATTCCACCCCCCTCAAATAAGTGATTCTTTAAGAGCTATTTCTGACCAAATGTACTAGTCGATTCCTTAAAAACATCTGAACTTAGCTTTGAGAAGGAATGCTTTCATGTTATGTTTGTGCAAAGCATATTGGTTTAAATGGACTCTTCTACTCTGTCTCTTTGTATCTATATGTTCTTAGACTATAGATGGATTATGACAAAGAGCCAGGGTTGTATCAAGTCTTATACAGTATTTGTTGGCACAATTTCGAAACATCTTTATTAACATTTTTTCTCGTGACTGATGGGTAGATAATCCGAGATTTATCTTGTAATGTATCATATAGTTTTGTGAAATTAACAATCACAACAGAGTAGCTAAATCTGTTTGGACAGTGGTTGTCTAATCCTGCTAAAGCCATACATTAAATAGCCGGATAATAAAGTATCCAAATCGATCACCTGCTAAAGTGTAGTCAGAGATGACCCCAATGAGAACATTTCTATCATATAGGTTAGAGTTTTGCATCCCTAGAGTTTTGTGAAAGCCTAGAACAAATACTATCCTTATTAGTATAGTGAGAGATCTTTACTTTCCACCATTTTATGAAATGCCTGAAACCTTAGTACAAAATGTATATCCTATTATTCTTTTTTAAATCCAATGCAATTATTTTGCCTAATACATATGTATATGAGTATTTTTTCATAGAAAAACCCCCCTAACCCTGTCTCATAAGAAGAGGAACTTGAAAATCTAGAAAAAACAATTGTGTAGCAGGTTGTGAAACAATAGATACAGAAAATATAGATTTGAATATTCACTTTCAATGTGGTAAATCGATGCTAGTGAAAGTTAATTCTGAAAGATAGCTTGAGTGTCGCAGCTGTGTCAGGGTTGAGTGAAGCAGGCAGGACCCAAATGCAGATTTCAAAGATAATTCCTTTATTCCAAGGTTAAATGTCGAAAACAGAACACTACCCCGTGACACAGTCAAAGACAAACAAGGATCTAACAAAGACAGACAGAAAAACCAGAACTTAAATACACACAAGACTAATCACACAACAAGACACAGGTGAGGAGGGAGGAGAAAACACAGGGGCACCAGGTGAACACAATCAGGAAATCAGACACAGGAGG